TTGCATCATTTCAACGAAATTTTTACTCCAACCATAGGGAGCGACGGGAAAAGGTGGAAAAGGAGAAAAGGATACAATTCAAGACTTTCCACAAAAAAAAAAAAAAAATCAAGTAATGTCATAAAAATAAGTAAAATGGAAACCAATCAGAAATGCTGTCACAATTCCGTTGAGCTTGGAAAACAGGAAATATTAAATCGAAAATTGCTGCCCGAACTCAAAACTGATTTTATAATTTGTAAAATATTTCTTTGAATTAAAGGATTATATTAAAGGATAAATGAGAATAATTTCAATTCCTTTCAAGAAATATTATTACTAAATCGAAAAAAGAGGAAATGTTTGGAAATATTTTTATTCCGAGTGTTCCACAGAAAACTGGTAGAGTAATGTTTGATTGGATGGGCAAACAATTCTTGAGAATGGAGTTTAACACGGGTGTATCGAATTTCACTTAATCAAGTTTGAATGAATATCTAATATTTATCATTAATCTTAATCCTGTGTCAGACCTCCAGTCGCTTATTTTAAATTCAAAAACCGATTCTTCTATTCTTCTTAATTCAACATGTTTTCATCCATATAGGCCTACATAACAGCTTTATCACCTTCCTTGGCCCATAAAAATCCACTTATGTATCCACCATGCCCTTAACATATTTCCTATACCTGTATACATGGAGCAATGGGTGATCCATATGCAGGAGCATGAAGACGGGATGGTAGTGATGGTATGGATACAGCTATTTGATTTTTATAATTTTAAGTTGTGAATTTTGTTTTTAAGTTTCGAGAATGAATATAGTATAAAGGTACCGGCAACATACTAATGGCATGTGCATGTGGATGCATAAAGGGATGGTAAGAACAGAGCGCAAGTTTTTGGAAAGTGACGGCACGCTCTTAATAAGGTTTGAAGAAAATGAAAATTAGACCGTTCAATATTCACAGTATAAATTAGAATCTTATTTTCGATACTCGGTACTCCAATAGCTGTAGTTACTATGGCCACAAAACATGTCTGATGTGCTCAAAAAAATACTTCATAAAAACATTCCGACATTCCATACGTTATTATATACCCTGTGAGACTATAGTTTGAGAATTGAATATATATAAGTTTCAGAAGACTTCGCAACAGCGTTTTAAGAGCAAGCAGTGTTCAACAGCTTCTGTTATAGCTCACTCTTTCGAATCATAGTATAAGGCACGAGAACTGTATATTATATATATAAGTTTCAGAAGACTTCGCAACAGCGTTTTAAGAGCAAGCAGTGTTCAACAGCATCTGTTATAGCTCACTCTTTCGAATCAAAGTATAAGGCACGAGAACTGTATATTATATATAAGTTTCAGAAGACTTGCAGAAGAGTACTTACGAGATGAAAATAGAACCTCAATTGGTCACCCAATTCCTGATGGAATAGAATTAAAGGACTGAATCAAAGGCTATAACCGACTATGCATGTGAACATTCCCTGATGTCTGGAAACCAGTTTCAGGCGTCACAAACAATAGGTTTATTTTAACAGAATACCTCTCTTAAATGGGTTCATTGTACAGGCTTTTTGGTTAATTTCACTTTACAATATAATGCAATATTTCTCATTTTTCTCATATTTCTTCTAATTACTATTTCGTTTCAAGTAAAAATATTAATATCCGTTTCACATTTACTTTTAATGAGTCACGTTAAGCAAATTAATATTCCAGGCAAAAATGAAAAGTAAAACTCCTCCATGGCTGTGTGTGTTGTATAAAGTGTGTAATTGTATAATTAAATAATAATTATGCAATTATTGTATATAAATATATGGATATACATTATTTGTTAAATAATACGAACAGAACCAGAACCAGAACCAGAAGAAAAACAGAATCAGAGGCAGAGGCAGAGTCAGAGTCAGAGGCAGAGTCAGAGTCATTGTATTCAACTCATCAGTCTGCTTGGTATTCCGATTCATTCGCAATCGTGACAGGCAAACAGGCAAATATCTCAGGCAAACATAATGAAGCCCATTAAATTGTCGTTATACATGCTTTATACTTGCAATTATTTATTTATTTCCTTATTCCTTTTATGCTGTTTTATGCTGTCCTGGCGTTCTTTTATATGCGATTTGTATTGTGCTGGGCTCCTTTACTTAAACTGCATTTAAGCTAACTAGACCGTAAGGATATTTATAATTTTCCGAATGGCTTTGTCTTGTGTTCCACCGAATAGAAAGGAAATTTTCCTATTTTTTCGTATTTGTTGTTGTTTGTTGTTATTTGTTTATATTGTTTGCTTTGTTTTGTTATTGTTTAACACAACAATTTAAACTTGAGTACATAAAATAAATTTAACTTTTTTACATCGCAATTTATTCTTGGGTTCTTTTTGCATCAGCAACGTTCCTGCATTCTTAGTTTTGCATGCAACAGCAAATTTTTTAAGTGGTCTATTTGTGGATTGTTTGGAGGGTCAGTGGAGTTATTGCATCTATTATCCTGTGAGTACCATCCGTCGACTAAGCTAACAAATCACCCCACAAACAGTAACAAAAAATGTGCTAAAATTAATAATTACAACAACTGTTTCAAATATTTAACTGCAGTGGATTTAGTATTCAGAGAGTTGTTGAAGAGACATGCAATCAGGGAAGAATTAAACTGGAAATATAAGAAGTGTGAAATGGTATGAGTGGTTTTTTGACTTACTGCATTTGACCATATTCTTTCATAATAACACCATTTAACTTCAGTTTCCTCTTCATTTTGGGTTAAAATGTTTGTTTTGTCTTAGGAGTTGCTGCAATTTCAGAGTAATTTGGCTCATTCGGGAAGAGTTAGACAAATGAAACAAAGGACTGAAGTAATTTCACATTAGGACAGAAGTTTGCTAGTGAAGGCTGATGATTAATTAAAATTCGGTGGAAAATTATCAGAGTTAAATCATAATTCAAGAGTTTAAATATTGGGATTGTAGAAAAGACTGCATTGTACCATATATTAAGAGGTAAGCAAAGAGGCAAAACGAGAAAGGAGTGAAAAAAGACAAAGTGATATAGAGAATATAAGAGAAATGGAAAGATTGAGAATAAAATAGAGTCTGTAATAAATAGGGAAAATTAGAAATAGTGAGGGAGAGAGAGAAAAATACAAAAAAAAAGATATATAATGAGATATAGAGAGAGAGAGGGATAGAGAGAAACAGAAAAATAGAGGGAGACAAAGAGAGAGAGAGGGAGAGAGGGAGAGAGGGAGAGAGAGAGAGAGAGGGAGAGAGAGAGAAGAAAGACAGAAAATAAGAAGAAAGAGAAGAGAGAGAGAGAGAGGGAGAGAGGGAGAGAGAGAGAGATAAAAGAAAAAAGAAAGAGAAAGAAAGACAGAAAATAAGCAAAAAAAAGGTATTGATAAAAAACAGAAATTAGAATATGTAGAAAAAGTTAGATCTAAATTTAACCATTATAAAATAAACATAATAAACATTGATATGAATGAAATAGTCAGAGTATAGTCAGAGTAGCTCTGATGTGAAGATCTGATGTGAGGTTACGATAAACGTAGAGAAAGTATGTATAAAATAAATTAATATGTAGATAAACTCTGTAATAAATTTTAACTCCAAGCTATCGAATCCAAATGATTTAAAAATAATATATTGTAGTTACACAGTACATCGAAGTTCATAGAATGACTCATTCCATTTTTTTCCATTTTTTCCAACGGTAAAATATATATAATATAATATTATTTGAACATTTAAATGAAAAATGTAAAGTTATTTTCTAAATGCGACTTTTTGTTATGGTATTTCTTCTTATTTATGTTGTATCTATTTGAAGTCAACCTTTTTACTCAAATGAATCCAAAATTGAAATTCATTAAATTATATTAACCTCGGTGTGTTGTAGTTTGTTTGGCTTGCTCTGCTTCTTACCACTGTTTAACATTCACTCTTCACCGACTCCATTTTTCTGAAGTCGCTTTTTGCTACACGAAAGCAGTATTGAGGGTCATTAGAGTAAAAGTTTTCATGGAAATATTTTGCTTTCTCTGGTTCCTTTGAACATAATTTATGGATTTTAGAAATTTTTATGCAAATAGGTTTTTTCTGCAGTTCTGCCATTCCGATTCCGAATTCCAAATTCAGCAGTGTGAATGCCCAGTGTAGTAGTAAATCAAACTATTTTGCATTTACTGAACTTGAATACCGAGCAGGAGTGATTGTATTGCTGTCCTTGAATCCTTGAATTCTTGCAGCCGTTCGTAATTATTGTGGCGGAAATTTTCATTTTGCAAGATTTATTAACTTTGTTTCAAAGGCAAAATATTCAAATCCAGAGAGTGTGAGTACGTAAATTCAATTTTTTTATTTTGTTTTGTAATTAATAAGAGATTATCCGTGCTTTGCGAACGATGATTTCAGTTAAGGTGTTTTAATGGGAGTATATTTGAAAGAAGCTATACCAATTTTGAGAAACAAGATATTTTTTTGTCTTAATTTTTTACTGATATTATTTTATTATGTACTTATTTTCCATTATACCTTTCATTCAAAAAGGTGTAAAACGTATTAAACTTATTAAAGAAAACGTCGTCGTATGGTATATCGATAAAGTGTAAAGTACTGAATCTGTTTGTCTACTACAAGGCCTAATATACTCTTTTAGGAGAGAGCCTGTAGCTAGCTAAGGCTCCCAAATTGTGAGTTTTTAGCAAAGACAGTGAAAGGTAGGTTTGAGGGTAGGTCTCTTCGGTAATAATCACTAAAGGAAATATTCAATGTCAGCATATTTTCCTAACTGACAGAGACTATACACTTAATGGCTTATTTTTTACGGAACATTTCAATGATATTGAATATTTTTTACATAAGAAGAAAGGTTAACTTGTTTATAAGTGTTTGCATATCGTTAAACCTTACGGTCTAGGATCAAATTGCTCCTATTATAAGGTGCTAATTTAATTTCTTTGTATTAGTTTTTTTTTCATTTGTTTTTTGGTCAGACACTTACCCTTACTAATTCCAGTTGCCTTATCACGCAAAACGTTTATGGAATGCACCGGTCCGTACTCCTCAAACATTTCACGCAACTGCGCTTCATCCATGGATTTTGGCACCTGGCCAACAAACATTTTAATGTTGTCCGGATCGGGCTCCTTCTCGCCAAAAGGGGTATCAGCATTCATGCGAAAGCATGAATCATCATCAACGAGCACATTTCGATTTGCGCTACATGTATTGTTGTTATTGTTCAACAGCGAACTGTTGTTATTACTGTGGATGGGACTGTTCGGTAGGCTATTCGACGTGCTACTCTTGTCACTCATTCCAAATGGACTGAAAAAATATGGAAAAAAAGGAAATGAGAAGTTACTTAATAAATAATCAAAAAAATTAAAAAATTCAAATTCGAAACCAAAGTTTTGTAAAAATGTAGAAAAAATGTGTAAAAAATGAATTCCAAAAGTGTTTCCGGAAAATATGGCGAAGAGGATATGTTTGTCATTTATTTATATACTGGTAGGAATATCATTCATATATGTATACTATATGTGATAAGAGATTCATGTACCTAAAATTCACGCTACTTAATAGAATAACGAAGAAAATAAAATATTATTACATTAAACAGTGAAATTAGTAGCAATAATTCATATTTTACATGAATTTTAAAATAGTTCATTTAGAACATAAGAAAAGTAAATAATTTTATATTTAATAAATTTATAGCATAATGTGTAAAATAAAAATATAGAGAAATACTACTCGTAAAAATTGATTGTAAATTTATTTATAACTTAAAAATGACAGTTCGCCTAATACAAAATTAGAGCATATCATTATATGTATAGATTATATAGATTATATATAAAGATATATATAGATTATAGCAGAAAAAGTTCATGATAAAAGTGGATTAAGTGGCTAGATATCTCCGCTTTCACCCAGCTTGCTTTTAAATGGAGCCACATTCATCCTTAATCTACTCTTGTTCCCAAACAATCCGCTCTCAATTCACACTTCCTTTACCCAACCATATACTAACCCATGCATTCATATTTTAAATTCTTTTCCTGTTATTTACCATATAGATCTCCACTGGCAGTTGCCAAGAACACCAATGAGTGACAAAAATCCTGATACAGTTTTTGTTGGTTCACAAACATTCCTAGTTACTGAATATGTTTATAGTACGGATGAGAATAATATGAAAGTATTTCTGTCTCATAGTGGAGCTTTCAATAACTTTGCATTTAGAAAATTAATTGAATTAGCTCGATCTGTGGTGATACATTTTAGAAACTGTGCCGAAGAAACCGAAATACCAACGGTTGTACTTAACACCATTGATAATTGCCTTAAGTTCCAGCGATAAACATTACATTGTTAAAAGCTCTTGTATTTTGAGCAAAGAACAAATGCAATGGAAAAGCTTAGGTTCAAGTCTAAAAGCTTTGAAAGCTTTCGATCTACGCGAACATAGTCAGTACAGGAACTTACAAAACCATCACGCATAAGAATAACCACAACATTTTACACCGACTATTAAGTTGGGTTTAAGGTTAAAAGGGGGTAAAAGGGGGTCTTACTGCTTTTAGTGTACAAAGAAAATTTGTTTTTAAATTTTTTTTTTAACTGTCACTTGTCATTTGAATAAAAGTTCACATAATAAAATTTGAGACCAAATGCGCTTTGCAGAATTCCAAGGAAATGGAAGGGTCATATTTATGATACATATATATTAGACATCTATATATTAGACATCTAAACATATTATTTATGTACATATAAATATGATCAATTGAGTATGTAAGTCAAAAGTATATTATAACCGAGCTATATGTATTCTAGTAAAATATGTATTGATATTTCATGTCAAGCATTCCAAAAAAATTCTATAAAAAACCGAGTGATACATTATTTTAAATAACGTAAAAAAGTATCACAATTTATAATTTAAATAATAATATAATGAAGGGTTAATACTTTAGCCCTTTTGAGAAAACAAAACTGTCGCGAAAATTAAAAAAAAATAATTCCGAATTATGACAAATAAAAAACAAGAACAATTTTCAAATAAAAAAACAAATAAAAGGCTTGAAATTGATTTTAGCTAAATCATTTAATAATATTTTTTAGAAAATAAAACTAAAACTTTTGTGTCCGCACTTGAACTGTACTTCATTTTATTTGTTGTAATTACTTGAACATTGAATTACATCTCACTGTTATACATACATACATACTTCGGCAAAGTATATAATGATGAACTCAACACAGAGCCATCAATTTAGAAATAACAAAAAATAAAACGGTTTTGAGCTTTTTTCACCACACATACACACATTTTCACCACAAATTATTTTAAACACTGCAACATAAGCATGGAATATTTATAATAATATTAATAGATTTTTTTAATATTCTGTTACAAATATTTAAATTATATATTAGTATTTTAAAAATTATATATATAGGAATTAGGATTTGTTAATAACGTTTATACTCACTCAAACAAATCATTATGTTTTTCATTGAGATCGAAAATCGATCTACGATTTCCGAGAAAAGTCGCTGCACTCTTGCTCAGCATTTTTAAATTCAATTTAAATGAAAATTAAAAGTGAAAATTGATGTATGTATATATAAGTTTTATATATATTATATTATATTATATATGCCAAATTAAGCTTTTTAATCAAATTTCTAACCAATTCACGTTCAACAGTTATATTCTCGTTATGTATATATGTGTATATCAATATACTCGCATATATATACTTAATAGTATTCTGTATATATATATATATATATATAATACTTGATATTAAGTAAAAAGTGCAAAAAGTGCAATGTTTACGGTCTTTACGAAGTATACATATATTATATACTTTTGCACAATATATTCATATATATATAATTTACGTTTAACACTGACAAGACAGTGAGGTCAAAACAAGTTCAAATTAATATTTACAAAATAAAGTTTTTATTTTTATTTTTATTTTAATTTTCTATTTTCTATTTTATTTTTTTTTTGTTATTTATTATAAAATGCAACTTTCACTTCACTATGAAAAGACTACACCGTGCACTTAACATTGAAAAATAAAATCAAAAAAATCAAAAGAACTAAAAAAACACAAGTCCTAAGCGCGTGCTTCCAATTACGACAAAAGCAGACGTACAAGTGAACGAGTGGATCCAATTAGCGCCGTGACAACTAAGCTTTTGACTCAGTTTTGAGCCATTTTTCAATAAAAAATATAGCAACAAATTCCTTGAAGGAAATGAAGGAGCGTTCGTCACGCTCTTGCTTTTCATAAATAATTTCAAAAGCTGCTTATAGCTGTGAAGTCATTAGAATAATAACGATTAAAGGGTCGACCAGCATGTATTAGAGTTAAAATTTTTTTTTTTTAATGATAAATGGAATGATTGACTTCTTTATTTTTGAGTGATATTTTTGTTATTAATTACAATAATTAAATATTCAGAAAATATTTATATATTATTTGAAATAAAATATATTTCAGAAGATATGGATATGTATATACATATACAAGATACTCGTATATACTCCCTAATTAATTATCCTGTCTTAATATAAACACTTATTAAATATTCTAACATAATAACAGGTGATCTTACCCACCCAGTATTTTTTTTTTTTTGCTCTTGAGTGCTTTTTTATTTCGCTAATTGCTTTCGTACCGTTTGTCATAAAAAAAATTAACGGTTTCTTCGATGCGTAATGGAAAAATTTATAATCAAAAAAGTGTGATTATTTTAAATTATTTAAAATTATTCAAAATAATCTGAAAAATAAACCTAAGTACAGTCTCTAGCCAATATCTTAATAATATAATGTTGGTAAACATACATTTGTTCATGTGTGGATTACATATACATATATACATTATTATTACTATATTGAATATATAATATATAACATGTATGTAGCATGACAAATGGTCAACAAACCGCCAATGAGCCACTAAGTTTCTTGATGGACCTGTTTGTTGTTGTTTTCACTGTTTTTCTGTTTTACAAACCTATTTATTACTTTAATAAGAGTCACAAGATTGGAAGGAGGGGGAGGTAGAAGGCAAAGACTTGAACCATGTCTCTGGTGAAGTGATCAAGCAGAGGCACCTGGAGAGGGGAGGAGTGCTATTTTCAGAACAAAAAATTTTAATTATTTCAAGTAGCTTAGTTGGATAGTTTTCGTTCTCTTTTCTCTTAACATATGCAATTTCAGGAGTGATCTTTAAATCAGTATGTCTGCATTGTAAGAAATTTTTTTATTAGAATGCAACTGCAAACTTATTCTTTCACTGGGGAAGGTTTCTACGTTTTATAACTTTAACGATCTAAAAAACAAATTTGCAACTAATTTGCTTTGATGTACAATATAAATATATACATATGTACTAGTATTGCTGTAGATGTGTTAATAATATGAATTCTATATTAAACGCATATAGAAACATATATTAAGTCATCCTCAAAATTTAATTTTTGCAAATACCGCAAATTAGTTTATATTGCATATAGTCCAATATCTGGTATAAGTATTCAAAATGCAATTGTACAACTTTTTTTTTAGGGCGCTACACACACAACTGTTTTTTATACCAAAACGAACAAGTTTCTTTTATAACTAATAAGATCAATTTGCAATTTCAATAAGATCAATTTTACTTCATTATATATTCAAGAATATTTTCAAGAAAACTTTCTGAAGTCTATCTATACCTTACTAGTGCCATCCACTGAATATAGCGTGCATCGTCAATACTACCCCCACTGCATTTGCATCGGTATTTTAAGCTTTAAACATATTGCGAAGCATTACTTCTAATTTACTTATTTTGTTTAATTAAATATAGTTATCTAATATTAATAATATATGTATGTATGTATGTATGTATGAAGTAAATCAAATTTTTGCATGCTGTTAAGATTTTGTCTCTTAAGTGGATACTATAAGTATTGGTCAATAACTATAAATCAATAGAGATTATTTTTTATGTATGTATGTATGTTATGTACCTTTAAAAGAAATACATACGTATGTATGTATATTAAAAAATAAATAAAATTTCTTATAAACTAAAAAAATATAAATATACATACATATAGGTTAGAATATACATATGTATATAAGTTACAAAATATTTCTACGATTTATAAGCTACCTTAACGAAATTGATTCAATTATCTACAATATTCTCCAGGTTCCCCCCAAGAGCATTCAGAAGAAAAATAGGAGATAAATTTCAATGCAAGAAAAGTTGCAACAATTACGCAGTGTTAATCTGATTTCCTTTCTT